CACCGAAATTTGATCAAAATTATTGAATTTTGATCGAAACAAAATTTATTCATACTCTATTTCAATCTACTTTAAAAATCGGTACGTACCAGTCATACCAACCATACCGGTCGATACAGTCCGATATTTACTTCTTTGAGTTAAAGTCTTAAAGACAAAGAAAGAAGGCCGTAAACATGGTATGAGTTTCACCATGTAATTCATAGAACTTACCAAGGGTATATTTGGTAGAGTTAGTGAGAAGTCTTTTTGGATTTTAAAAATTTCGATTGCATCAAACATTACAATTTGTAAAAATGTTATAATTTCTCATAAGTTAGTTGTTTGTTTATTTCATTGTAAATCTCATAAGTACCGAATTAATGCTTCTGTAAGAGTTTCTCATTTAGGTTTTAATGAAATTAACATATATTTTTTTTTATTTACAAAAATAACATTTCTATAACAATTATTTTAATAAAATTTCTATTAACAGTTCTAATCATACCAAACGGGCATTAATTAATTTCACTTTCTTCACGAGAGAGTCATACACTAGAGAGAGTTGCCAGAGATAAATGGACGGACGGTAGAAGGCCCAGAATTGGGCAGAGGCCCTACCTTGGGCCTGAAAAAAAATTAGACAAGGCCCAGGTTCTAGTGTCTGTGTGGAAGGGTCTGATTTAAAGAGAGAAAATATATAGGGCCCATTTTTAATGCAGCAAAAATCAGAAGAAACTCTCTAATTTATTACTTCCCGCGCTCACCATTTATACTTTGCGCTCAACATTCTCTTCTAGATTTATTTATGGGGCGCATTTTAGATTCGTTTCATGTTTTGTTTGCTAATTTTAACTAATTTTTTAGGCACTCTTTGTGTTTGACAAATTGCCCCAATGACTTTGGAAGATTTTAAGTATTTAGGGGAGTTCATGTATATTTTTTTTCTTTTGGCAGAGGGAGTTGATGTTTCTTATGCATTCTTTTCTATATTTTCTTTCTAATTTTTTTAATAATATTATTATTGAATCTGCCTACCATATCCTAAATTATCATTATTCATAAAGTACATAAAACAGTGGACATTTTTAATTTAGTATAACTTCAGAAGTGCACATATGTGCAACCCAAATAAATTAATAACTTCATGATTTATTAACAAAGCAAGATTACAAAGATTATAAATAAAAGTCACTATAAATGTACAATTAATGTGGATAATTAACTCTCATATCTCTCAAATCTCTTCTTATGTATCTTAATATTTAAATTACTGAATACCTCCAACTCAAAATCAAATATTTTAATTAGTTGAAACATTTTATTTAGTTGACTACTAAGAACAACTATATATTTGATTTGTTCATTTTTAAAAAGTACACAAATATTGTCTGCATAGTGTTCAGACTATTCCTGAGCATATGTATTTTCAATTGAAGAGTTCCAACCCATCATTATCTTGGATCGTATCTTGCTAATTTTTATTCTTAAATCCTCATCTTTTTGTCCCAATTTCAAGTCACCAGAGCTTACTCATTTAGTGATAAATAAAGGCATCTCGTTTTCTTTTTCCCTTTTATTTTTGGCAGAAGAAGCGAAAGTGCATGCTTGCTCTGCAGGCACAAATCATGAGGACGGTGTAAGATCAATTTGTTTAGTGATAGAATACATTCCTAAACGTAACACCTCCAAAGATAGGATTTGTCTCTAAATTAATTAATAGTACCTTAAAACTTAATTAGTCTTACTAAAATGATAATGAAGGCGTAGCCCCATATTAGTCTTATGCATTTCATGTGTGAAGATAATAAGATCTCTCCCAAATTTTGGGAGAAAAATTTTTCCCACGAACCAAATTCGCTTTTCCAGAGGAATCGAAAAAGAGTTGCCGAATCTACTAAGACCAGGGCGATTCCCTCTGTACCCACTCCGGCAAGACGTGACAAAACGCTACGTGTTCTGCACGGGAATTCGTCACACGTGCGTAAGCAAAAACATAGGCCCACTTAATGAGATGTGTCAGGCCCACGAGAATAGCTGAGCAAAGTAGGCCGTCATGTGGGCCCAACGGAATCCATATGGCCACACCTCCTTTTCCTATCCCCACACCCGGTGCTTTATGTCGCCCCTTGCCTTCCCGCTCCATAAGAGCTCGTTTCTCAGTCCCTCTTTCACGCAACAAAATCGCAGATTCCTGATTTCTTCCCCACTTTTTTTTTCTTTGTTCCGTTCTCATGTCTTAATTGCAATCGGCCTGTGAAGGGAGGGTTGGGATTCTGCTCTTTGACATCGGATTTATTACATAAAATTGTAAG